ATGCCAGGGGCACCGCGGGACACGCGGGCGGCAGGAGGAGGCGACAGTCGCCTTGTGCCACCCCCCTGCCGCCCGGCCGGGTGGGGGATGAGCCCCCCCGGGAAGGAGTCGGGATTCCCGGTGGGAGAGGGGACGAGCCAGGGATGTCCGGCTGCATCCCGGGTGTCCCGGAGGGGCCGAGGCTGCTGCTGCCACGCCGTGGGGGATGTGGCTACTGCAGGGATCCCGGGAAGTTTGGGAATGCCACCGCCGGCCTCAGGGAACATAAAACGGGTGGCAAAAGACCCTGGGAGATGCCCGTGAGGAGCACGGCGTGGATTCCCAAGGATGGAGTTCCTTCCAAATGAGGAAATCGTTTCAGGAAGCTTCCCCGAAGGAGTTTGGGGATGTTATCCGGATTCTGGAACCTCAAATATGGGGGAAAGGCCTGGAGGGAGCCTTGGATGGATCCCTGAGGGTTCAGCTTCCTCCAAAGGAAAAAGGCTCAGGAAGCTTTCCTGGAGGAGTCTGGGGCTGCTGCCTGGGATCCTGGAACAGGGGTGAAAAGACTCCGGGAGAGGCCCTGGAGGAGTCTCAGATGGATTCTAGATCTTCCTCCAAGAGAAAAAAACCATCTCAGGAAGCTTCCTGTGGAAGGGGACAGCACCAAAGTCTGAAACAACCTTTATTTCTCCATGTACAAAACCCCCTTTTTGGGAGAGGGGAATGTTAAAAGCCGTGTGCTGCCCGGCGCTCCGGGTGTCAGTCTGTGTCTGAGTCATGCCTTTGGCTTCAGAGGGACAAAGCACATCCACTCCTGGCTCCCAGGGCAACGGGAATGTTGGGAATAAGGCACCATGGCAGCAGGAGAAGGGGGGAGCGTGTAGTGTTCACAGGATGAGGGAAAAGGAGGGGCCAGACCCCACCTGAGAGGCGCCGGCGCCGAGCTGGGGGGTCTGGGGAGGGGGGATGAGCTGCTCCCCCCTCCTCGAGGCACCACAGAGGTCACAGAAGGGATTTACAGAGTGAGGATCCCCAGGGACACAGGAGCCACAGCTCCCTCCTGATGCAGCAGCAAATTCCTCTCCAGCCTCCTGGCAGAGGTTTCCCGGGATTTTAGCTGTCCTGCTCCGACGGGGCCGCTTTTCTCTTGGCTCGGCTGCGCAGGAGCCGGGAGGAGCCCTGGGCAGGGACAGGGACAGGGACAGGTCAGGACCCCCTCACGCAGCCCCACACGCCCACCTCGTGTCCCCCTCCCACGGCACCTCCTTTCCAGGGTTCTTCCTCAGGGATCGCAGGCTCTGGCTGCGGGACAGGGGTTTGGGATCCCGGCGTGGCGGTGCTGGGGGGGACAACTGTGAGTCCGACCACATTTCCTCATCGTCCGTGTCGCTCTCATAGCGGCGGCCGGTGCCGTAGGCTGGGGACAGGGGGGACAAGCCAGCTCCAGCATGGCCACCGTGGGCTTTGCTGCAGGCCCCCCTCGCTGTGACCCCCAGCTCCTCACCCCGGGGCTGCTGGAGGCTCTCCTGCTCCTCCAGGTACAGCGGGTCCTGGAAGTGCACGGGGACCTGCTCGGGCAGCGAGTGCAGGTCCTGCATGCTGAAGCTGCGGAGCCGCCCGGCCAGCGCGCCCTGGCTCTGCAGTGGGGGACACAGAGCGGACAGGATGGTCAGACCCCAATCCAGGGGACATCTCCCTCTCCTGTCACCCTGCTCGGGTGGGGTTTCCTCCCCGGGTACCTTGGTGGCCGCCTGGACAGCGGCGGTGGCCGCCAGGTTGAGGCCCCTCTTGCCAAAGCGCACCATGGTCTCGTAGCCACGCTCACGTGCCTGGACCAGGAACGCATCGATGTCCTGAGAGAGAGAAAAGGGGGTGGTGCTGCGAGTGCAGTGTGCTGGCCTGGAGCACTGTCACCTCCCCCAGTGTCCCTGGGCATGGTCATTTCCCAGGGCATTGTCACCTCCCCAGGAAATCACTATGTCCTGAGGCATCACCAAGTCCCTGGGCATTGTCACCCCCAGGGACATCACAACAAGCCTGGGCATCATCACCATCCTGGGGCACTGCAATGTCCCTGGGCACTGTCACCCCCCAGGACATCACCACATCCCTGGGCACTGTCACCCCCCAGGACATCACCACATCCCTGGGCACTGTCACCCCCCAGGACATCACCACAGCACAGGGCACTGTCACCTCCCCAGGACATCACCACATCCCTGGGCACTGTCACTCCCCAGGACATCACCACATCCCTGGGCACTGTCACCCCCCAGGACATCACCACATCCCTGGGTGTTGTCACCTCCCAGTGCACTGTCACCTCCCTGAGGCATCACCATCCCAACTCGGAGGGCTGAACCCCCCAGGCTGGGCAGGGAGGACCCCCCAAATCCCGGGAATTTTGTACCTTCTCCCTGCGGGCCAGCGTGGGGTGCACGAAGCGGCGGTAGAGCAGGCTGGCCCCCCGCGTGTACGGGGACAGCAGCCAGATGACAAAGGCCATCTTCACCTCGTAGTAGAAGGGGAACCTGGCCAAGAGGGGCAGGAGATGGGGGGGAGTCCAAAGGCACCTCCTGTTCCCCCCCCACATCAACTCTGGGGACATGGGGACACCCAGAGTCCCACGCCAGCCTCACCAGGAAATGAGGAGGTCAGTGAAGGTCTCCGTGGCCATGAAGAGAGCGAAGACGATCCAGTACATCATCCATCGGACCTGGGGAGCCATGGGGGGCCATCAGAGCGGACTGGAGACTGGGAAAAGGGTGCCTGAACCCCAGAAAAAGGGACTGGAGACTGGGAAAAGGGTGCCTGAACCCCAGAAATGGGGACTGGAGACTGGGAAAGGACAGGACTGGGAAAGGAGGGGACAGGACC